CATGTGGACAATTTCAACAGAAAGGAAGAGACCATGAAAATGAAAAAAATCTGGCTACCAGTATTAAAAAACTCTAAAATTATAACAGCTAAACAACAGAGAGGAAAAAAACCAGGCACAGATTAACACCTCCCAGCAACAGATTTTCCCAGGCTCAGGCAGGCCTTCAAATGCTAATGAAGGTGATCAGCTAAACATTCACACCTAACTGCAGCAGGGAAGAGCTCCTTGCCCCACCCCAGCCATTCCACAGATATATAAGCCCATTTTTCCTACTTCCAACAGACCTTCTCAACCTCTGAGGATGCTTGCCATAGATGCAGGCGAAACGTCAGGAGAAATGCCTCTAGAACATGGCTCTATAGCCCGAAAAAACCCACAAGAACCTACAAACAGTTGTATTTTGTTGTTTGTATGTTTGAATGCAATACAACTCTTTGGTTTGCTCCTGACATGATAAAAAAAGGTTAAAGATAGTGTGACATTTGTTTTTATTAGTAGAACAGTCCTTTTGGGAATAAAGGAAAAGATTGGATGAAACTCATATTGAAACGTCGTTTTATAATCAGCAAGCATTTGATCCTGTGTAACCACTATGCTTTTGCCACAAAAATGTTGCAAATAAACTGAGTTACTGTTTCATCATAAACAAAGCCTCTCTCTCTCAAGCTGAAGGTTAAAGATAGTGTGCAAATGAGCAGGTGCCAAGATTTGAAAGTGGGGCACCTGCTCATTTCCCAATCAGGTCGCTCTCATGCAAATAGCTGCCCATTGGTGCTATTGTTCTCTGGGCACCACAAAATGGCTGCTCACACGCCAGCCCTTTAAGGTAGGTCACTTCCTAACTATCTAAAATGAGTCAGGTTCATTACTGCCTCCAATGGCAGTGATTGCATTGCCTCTCTGGGTTGCATAGCCCAGAAGTTCCAGGTGAGCCAGTGGGTAAAGGGGTCCTTTCCTTGTTTGTCCAAGTGGGCACTTGAGTCAGCTGCTTGCAAGTGTCAACAGGCATAGAAGTCCAATCTTGCCTGAAGCCTCCCCAAAGCCGTGTGTTTTGCCAGGATAACATCGAGCGCCGTTTCATGTTCAATAGACGCCACTTCATTGGCTGCCAAGCGCCTTGCCAGCCTCCGCTCCGCCTTGCTGTGTGCATCGAAGGCCTGACATTATCCCAGCAGGCCGTGTCTGGTGGCTTGAATTAATCCTTCTTTATAATTAACTTTAATTTCCTCCCCTCTTTGCAAAAGTTGTTTGCCTCCTCGCGCTGCCACCTTTATCAAAATGTTTTGAACGACGACGTCCTCTCCAAATATCACTAATGGGGTAAACAAACAACGCGGGGGACGTTCCGTTTTGTCATGTTTATTATCCTGCTGCCTTCCATATATACTCGAGTGCACACACCTCTCCGCTTAAGACGATCCTGTGGAAACGGCAGTTCGGTTGCAGAAGAGTGCGCACAGCTCTGTTTTCCTCCGCCCAAGGAACTGGGAGCTGCTTTAGATCCCGCAGTTTGCACTAGTATTCCTCGCAGAAAAGTGTGACAGCGAGACACACAAAACTATGGCTGAGCAAAAGGAAGGTCCCCCCGACTCAAGGTCCCAGAAGATGCTTTGCCTTCCAAACGAGACATGGAAAGAGAGGGCTTTCATGGCTGGAATCACCGGGTTGTTGTAGGTTTTTTCGGGCTATATGGGCATGTTCTAGAAGCATTCTCTCCTGACGTTTCGCCTGCATCTATGGCAAGCATTCTCAGAGGTTGTGAGACCACACAACCTCTGAGAATGCTTGCCATAGATGCAGGCGAAACGTCAGGAGAGAATGCTTCTAGAACATGGCCATATAGCCCGAAAAACCGACAACAACCCAGACCTAATGAAGATCGTCTCGATTAAACTGCCAAATCAACTGTAGTTTTGTTTGAGCAAAATTTTAATAAATACTGAGGGCATGCTCATTACTCAGCCACCTTCCTTGACATTTCCTTGGGACACAGCAATATACGAGGGTTGGATGAAAAGTAATGCCTTCACCTTCGTAACTCCTCAACAGATGGCAGTGCTGGTATGCAGCAGGTACTGGCTTGTTCAGTAGACTCTCCTCTACAGTTCCATTTTGTGGGAAGCCTTAGCATTGAACTGGTTGTGTTGTTAAAGTGTGAAGTATGGAACCCTGTGCAGACGGTTGATCAATGCGACTTAAGCAACGTGCAGTCATTGAATTCTTGACAGCAGAAGGTGTCACCCCAAAGGAGATTCCTCAAAGAATGCAAGGTGTTTATGGTGATTGTGGTGAAAGGAACCTTGCTCCCTCCTCCTCCCTGTGGCTTCCTCTCACATATTTATACATGGCTCTCATCATATCTCCTCTCAGCCTTCTCTTCCTCAGGCTAAACACGCCCAGCTCCTTAAGCCGCTTCATAGGGCTTGTTCTCCACCCTTGATCATATCCCCTTACGTTAAACCTGGTGTAGGTTACTCTTTCGACACACCCCCCCCGGAGTGCGACTTCTTGTTGCATTCCACTCTCGCCACCCTAGTTCTTCCTCCTTTTCCCTTACTTGCACCTTTGAGAGAGAAGGTACAGGGACTGCAGGGTCTGGGGAGAGCGGAGAGTAAGGTCCCTGTGCCCTTATTCCCCGACCCTAT